GGGTGCCTGGCTCCTGCTTTGCACAGCGGGCGGACCCGCGCTCCTCTACCTCGCTACACCGCTGCCAAACCCTCTCGCGTAACATTTGCAACAACAGCGGTATTTTTCTTCAGACCGCCTTCCTTGGGGCCTAACCCTGTGCTCAAGAGACCCCCCCCGAGCTCAAAGTGAAGAAGCAAAAGTAGAAAACAGCTTCAAATGTGCAAGGAAGAGCTGCCTACCGCAGCCAAGGGAAGCCGTGTCCCGCGCGGCAGCCTCGGAGCCCTGCTGGCACGCACCCACAGCGTGCATTTGCTCCTGCGAGGCACAAGCAGAGCTTCAGCAAACTCTTGGTTGAAGGGGTGTTCTCCACAGGCTGCAGCTACCAAGACCATCCTGTAATTCCTGGTCGGTTCTTCTCATTGTTCCCCCCCTTCCCTGTAATTCATTTAATTAATTACTGATTCAGTTCTGTCTTCCGGTTAGTGAAACCCGAGGTTTCTTTATCTGTATCAGTAACCACTTAGAAGGGTCATTTGCAGTCTGGTTAGTGTTCACTTTAAATTTTCTATTTTTGTAAACAGAAAAACTCCCTGTCACATTGAAAACAGGGAAGGAAAGGTCGGCCTGGTGACATTATGAGGAGACATGCGATGCTCACCCGTTTCCAAGCTCAGCAAACATCAAGTACTTCAGACGCAGCTGGACCAGCAGGACCGTGAGCAGCCGGGAAGCCCAACTCAGGGACACTGAAGGGACCAGCCACCACACCAGCTCACACAGTTAAGGGCTGACAGCACTTAAACCCATCCTAACGATGCAAGTAATAACAGCACTACAAATTGAAGGCAATCCCTATTGATTCATGTTTGCTATTTGCTTACCATTTGAAGTTCCACTGACCTTTGATTAGTCCGCAGAGTCAGCTTTGTTTCCTTCCTGACAAATCTTCCCCTCGTATGCTGCACCACTGTTGGCTAGAATCAAAACTGTGCAATTGCTGTATGAACAATAATAAGTGTCATTAACTACTCACACTGGATTTTGTAAAATCTTTTAAAATAAGATACCTAAATTCTGTGGATAAGCCCAAATCATCATTTAAGTTGTATTTTGATTTAAAGAAGGGCTGTAACCATTAATTCCATATAAGGCGCTTTTTTCCCCCCAGTGTTATGAAGATTATCTGACTGTATTAATTACATGTAATTAAGCTTTATATTTTTTGCACTCAGTTTGCTGTCAATATTCACAACTCTCCAGAACTGCTCTAGCAAATTTGGCATAACTTTGATGAAGCATCAGCAGAGAGGAAATCATAGTGCATACCTTCCAGCTCATTTTTGAACTTGAAATTTCTAGTATGAAATCCGTGACAACACTGCCCAATCTCTCTAGAGAAAAGAAAGATGTAAATTATTGATTTTGAGCAGTGACAGTTTCAGCATAGAGCACACGGAAAACTACAACCCAAAGTGCTCTAAATTGGTTTGTTTCCTTAGATATTTTTACTCACAGATACGAGGACAGTGAGGAAGAGCCATGTCCCTGAAGTTGCTTTCATAAGAGGTGTTCAAAACTAAACATGAAAATCAAACTCAAGGACAAAACATGTATTGGATGAATACTGCTTTTTGTTACTGCAGCCTCAGGGATAGACCTGGAGAGGAGCCACCCTGCCTGTGATGAGTAATGCTTTCATAGATTCTTGCTTGTTTTTTAGAAATATATTTATAAGACTAAGCCAGGTATGCACAAGAGCGACAGCTGCATCTCACCCATGTAACAATGGTTTGAGGCCTGCAAGTCTGTGTTACATAGATAATACAGAGCCTGTTTTCCTGTAGTTGGCAGATGGATCTTACATTTTGCTAAATAACACTGCTGAATTATTAGCACCATAGTAAGTTTGCTAAGTAACATTTTAAGACATGTCTTATGGTTATTTACTTGAAATTAATTTTGTAATTAGAAAACTACCTATCAAATCACAGCATAAGAGAAGCTAGTGCCGACCAGAAATTGCTAACTCCAGTAGCAGTTAAAATGTAGAAATAATTAACATACCACACAAGTTTACTGCCATGACATAGATTCATTTACATGATATCAAACCTTTTTGAAAGGGTTACTATATTTGCCTTCAGCTTTCTCCTTTCCAGACAGCACAATCCCCAAATTTTAAAATCTCTCCCTTTAGGTCAGGTTTTCTACACCTCTAACCATCCTTGCTACAATCCCCCAGATCCTTTCTGGTTGCTACATACTCTTCTTGAAATGAGGACCCGAAGTGGACACAGCTCTGCTGCTTACCAACGCTGAGCAGAGCAGAGCATTTCTGCACATCACCACTCACCATGAGCAGGAAAGTGGGAATTTGTATTATGCGTACCCAGCAAAGCCTGAGCTGCCATAGTTCTAGTGCTACGAGGAGCTGCATAGCTGCCATCACATCACACGACATGAGTCATGACACATGAGCACAAACTATCTGAACTGGCGCACATGGCCCTGTCCCCAGACCGGACTGTGTGACATGAAATTTAAGCTGGAAACTTCCTCTCTCACCACATGCTTGCCAGGGCTGCAGCTCCCCTGCAACCCTGGCCCCACGGGGGTCAGCCCTGGAGCCAGAGGGAGGGTGCAGCTCCCGGTGTCACCCAGCATGCCGGGCATGGCACAATACGGGCAGGGTGGGTTTTAACCACAGCAAGTGGTTAAAACAGCAGCCGGAGTCCGATGGGGCTGAATCCCAGGACAGAATCTGTAGTATGGAGTCACGTGAAGCGAGTCGTCTCCTTAATCCAGCCTCTAGTATCCATCATTGCATCATTTTTTAGAAATTATTTAGAAATCCCTCACACTGTGCAGTCTTATTGGTGAAAGCAGAAGGTAAAGCAAATTTAATTTCATCATTTTTGTTGATTTAACAGAGCCTCTTGCTGCCTTTTGGAGTTAATTGAATTTTACATGTGACAACCAGTATGACCGACAGAGGACAGCACATCCATTTCTTTTAATGATCAAAAGACCCTGCACTCGAAGCTGCCATTCACTTTTTAACTCAGAAAATGAGAGTGACAGGCAGAGAGGAGCAGTGTGCCATAAGTAAGCCAGCCAGCTTAAAAAGGCCTTTTTACAATTAACTAGGGCTGTTTTGAATTCCAAGAGATTACTTAAAATAAATATACTTCTAACCAGGCATTATTGGTAACGGAACATTGCGGGTACACCTCGCTGGGTCTGCATTTTGAAGCAATTGTTCACTGAGCACTGCCAGAACAGTTAAAACGTACTTAGGAGTCGAAGCACACTTAGGATTGTCAGGTGAACTCTGCTAATTCCCTTTCAGAACTGCAGGCAGACAAGGTGTCTATAACTAAGTTTTGATTCAATGTGAGTGTTTATAAAACAGTGAAGACAAGCCAGACTCCAGTGTTTTTATTGCATTTGATTTGGGTGTGGAGAAGACTGCAAGTCATAATGAAATTCAAAGAACAAACCCAAGGATTTCATGTGGCTGAGGGGAATTTCATTACAGAAATTCAATTAACCTGCAAGTGTTGCACACATCGAAATCTATTATCTTTCCCCAGAAGCTGGCTATTGTGGTTTTTATAGCCACCTTTGCTACTCCCGGATAAATGATACTTTATTACAAATGCATTGACATCTTTATATAATTAATAGCATACAATAACATCTTCATCCATTATGGCTTTGCAAACATTCATTTCTGCTTCCTATGAAATGTATCAAATAGCAGTTTTTTAAAAGATATGGCTAAAGAAGGACTGGGTGTTAGACACAAGCACAAAGCAAATACGCAGGTTTAGGAGGCACACGAGGAATAATAGTAGCTGATGACAGTGTGTGGGTCTGCTGCAAGGCCTGATTTACATTTGTCGGTCAGGGCCTGATCCTGTGAATTGCTGGGCAGAATTAATTAAGTCACTTAAGATACCGTTAACTCAATGAGGACTGACAGTGCTCAGCAGTTCTCAGTACCGGAGCCCTTAAATAAAAGCCAACCTACAAATTCCCCTTCATGCGAGTAACGATACTGCACATGTCTACAGTAATAGCATGAATTATTCACACCAGTGTAGCGTGAAAGATGCAACCCGCAAAGCCTGTTTAAAGTAACACATGAATGTTAATTAGCGTTCCTGTGATACACGGGAAGGTTATCATTTGGCCCATTTTTCGCTCATATGTGTATTCCTTTTATTTGCTGTGTGCAGAGGTCTGATACGAGGACATGGGGGAAAGCAAATACGGGAGATAGGCATCTATAAACATTAGTAGAAAATGAGGAAAGGGGGTTACTGATTAGCTTTCCTCCCATATG